GTTTTTCTCTGTAACCAAATAACACATGCCAGCTGTCATGTGAATTAAATTCCTACTGTACAAAATGCACCCCCATATCAAAGGCATCACACCTGATTAAAACAATTGCACAGTCCTGCACAGATTTCTTGCACTGTCACAAATTTCACCCAGGTTGTTCTGCTTTTGGTATCTCAGGATGCTTATGGCACATTTGATATTGGCACTTATTAAAACCTCCATGAAAAAAGTATACCTTTCATTTCTTAAATATATATATAAATATCTGCATTAATTTTAGGGGGAAGGTGGCTAGATTTGTACATTTATCATCTAATAAAATATAGAATATATATTTAAACTTTACCGTATTTTGATTCTAAATTCATTGTATCATTTTAAGTTTGTGGGTGGCATAGTTAAATTCATAAGTAAGTACATAAGTTACTCTATATCACTACAATTGACATTTATTACTGATAGCACTCTAACAGCAGGTAATATAAAGGGCTTCAACACATTGTGACATAAACATAATACACACATTTCAGGAATCTAACCAGCATTTGTTGTGCAGGAAAAAAACATACTAACAAAATGGGTTTATCCAGGATAAAAGACAATGACTTCTAAGATACCTTATAAAATTTCCTATTGCAGGATTTGGACTGGAATACCATAAGAAGATCGTTTCAGTTAACATGAACTATACAGAAATGCTTTATAACTCTTATCCCTCAGAACAAAAAAGATGTATTTGTTCTCCCTTAAATATGCTTTGGCTTACTTAAATCCAAATGGGTAAGAATAATTCCCCTATCTAAAGGCACATCCAGAATGTACCAATGCAAATAATGTTTTTGGAGGATTTTTTCTACAAAGAAACAAAACCCCAATAAGCTACCTCCAATAATAGATATTTTGAGTTAATATATACCATTATTATCTGTACAGAACAATTTACAGTATCAACAACCATGTTAAAAAATAACAATCATTTAATTCCACTGAAGTCATGCTTTCAGCTGCTCTCTCTGAAAATACAGACATACAGTAAATGCAAAAACAAAATCAGGATTTTTTTCATACACAGCTCCTGTGTAAGGACTACCATGCCATGTCCATTGCTCCTGCGAAGTACCACTAAAGCATCTGGAATTTCAAGACTGCACACACAAATACAGTCCAAAATTAGCATAAATATCTGATTTCTGGCTTATTGTGTTCTTACTCAGCCACTGCCTAATAATGACTTCAGCTATACACAGGTATAAATAAGCTGTGCACAGTTAAGCATCTGAAAATACCCCATGATTTCCTTTCATATCTCATTAGTTAAGTGGATAGTTCCTGTGCTGCAGCTGCTCCCATCTCCCTTAACAACATTTGTACAGGCACCTTCTTTTATTTTCATATAATTAATTTCTCTAAGCAGGGGGAGTAATATTCATACAGATGAAATGGGAAACTGTCAATACACAAAGTGCTGACACATCCATTAGCTAAATAAGCTAGAAAATGTATTTTCTGTAATTATTTCCAAAAGTCTTAGCTAATAGTCAGAAGTGTATTATATTGACAGAATCCCTTCAAAGGAAAATTCCAGTGAGGTACAGAAGTTATTTTAACCAGTACATCAAAATAACTATGGGATAATATCAGACAGATGCAAACACATAGACAGGCATGCAAACATATATTCTATATGTTGGGCTTGGGTATGAATGGGGTCTTACTTGCACATCACAGAACAGCAGCAGTTTGCATCTTGGGAGCCTGGCTCGCCTGCTCTGCAACATCAGCAACCACAGGAAAAAGCAAGTCTCTGCCTCCCACATGCTGAGATGTGTAAGGGATTTTAAAAGAGCTGTTTTCCAGTGTAGGCTTGTAAAGAAATCATGAAAAACCTTTACCTGAGCACTCACTTCCACAGCAACAGCGTATTTTTTACAGCTGAGTATTTGAGAGTACTGGGCAAAGACAAGTTAAGAATGTCCTCCAAAAGTATAACAACTGAAGAGGCCGTGCTCAACAGAGTTGTAGCTGATGAGGAAAACCATCAGCTTCTCTATTTCAGATACTTATCAGATTAAAACCAACAGAACATACATTCATTTAATTAGTTTTCTGATTACTTATTTATAAAACCTTTGTTTTGACATCTCTAAGAATTACTACATTGGGTTCCTTTCAAGAGCCTGGAAAGTCTTACATTTCTACTATTTCAAACAAAAACATACAGTTCTTTTGTCATTTTTGGCATAAAAATAGGCCCCAGTTGAGAACTAAAATTAAAACTAAAACAGCAGATCCAACTGACATAGACAGCTCTTTCAGTTACTGAACAGAGGTATTGAAAGTTATCAATAGCTCTACAAACTGCCCTGAGACTTCCTGTACTTTCCTATCAACCGAATATTTACTTAGCATATCATCTATTTGTATTAGTCAAATGTGAGATTTGAGTCTTCCTTTAATGGCATTTGTAAAGCGATAATCGGTTGTGATCAATTCTGGATGGATTAGGATATATTAGAAAGCAGTATCCCACTGCCACCTACCCTATAGTTTTTCCTCATCCACTGAGCCCCTTCCGTTTCTGAGGACCACCGATAACAACGGGCCTTAGGACAACAGCAGCTGCAGTTAGAGACGCTGGAAACTCAGTTACAATGCCTCTTAAAATTTTCCTATTGCTACTCCTAATGCCGTGTAGCCAGTAGAGGTCACTGGTGCAACAGCACACATCTATCCACTGGCTCCTGCCAGCACTGCACGACCCTGCTCTCCCAGTACAAGCTGAGAAAGAAGGCATCGGGCTGAAAACCTCAGACCTGCTCCAAGGTGAGATACCAGCCCCGGTATCCCACCTGGTTTTCTGTCTGCAGGGGTTTCTATCAAGAAGTCTTCTGCCATTCAGCGTTTAGGCACACTACTGTTTTACAATAACAGAAGTTGTTCTAATACTAAAAAGTGTTAATCTACTGCTGTGAAAAAGAACAGGAGGAAGACAGAAACTGCTTAACTATTTCCTTTTTTTTTTTTTCTTTGTGAAATTCCAGCTATTATAAAAAAGTACTTTTCACTGTCAGCCAAAATAGCTCTCATGGCATCTAACGTTTTAATTGCTAACAGTAGAGATTAACACCAATGATGAGTACTGGCAACAGATGGCAACTCTCCATGAGAAAGTCCAAGACAGGTCATACTTCAGGAAGTAATTTTTATAAATACATTCTTGCAAAATAACATCATATTGTGGAATTCTTCACTTGACTTGAGACTACTACCGGCTGAGAAAGTGTTAAAATGTCTGTGTGCCTTTGATAGGTAACATGACTTATGTTGAAAGAACAGTTTCATTTTCCCCAGCTTTAAAATTATTTTTCACACAGCTGCAATAATTTGGTTCTTTACATAAATTAGCATTTGGATAGTCTCACAGCCCGGAAAGCCAACCATATCCTGGGCTGCATCAAAAGGAGCATAACCAGCAGCTCGAAGGAGGTGATCCTGCCCCTCTACTCTGCTCTCATGAGACCTCACTTGGAGTATTGTGTGCAGTTCTGGTGTCCTCAACATAAAAAGGACATGGAACTGTTGGAACAAGTCCAGAGAAGGGCCATGAGGATGATCAGGGGACTGGAGCACCTCCCATATGAAGATAGTCTGAGAAAGTTGGGGCTGTTCAGCCTGGAGAAGAGAAGGCTGCGTGGAGACCTCATAGCAGCCTTCCAGTATCTGAAGGGGGCCTATAGGGATGCTGGGGAGGGACTCTTCATTAGGGACCGTAATGACAGAACAAGGGGTAATGGGTTAAAACTTACACAGGGGAAGTTTAGATGGGATATAAGGAAGAAGTTTTTTACTGTAAAGGTGGTGAGACACTGGAATGGGTTGCCCAGGGAAGTTGTGAATGCTCCATCCCTGGCACTATTCAAGGCCAGGTTGGACAGAGCCTTGGGTGATATGGTTTAGTGTAGGGTGTCCCTGCCCATGGCAGGGGGGTTGGAACTAGATCATCTTAAGGTCCTTTCCAACCCTAACTATTCTATGATTCGATGATTCTACCCACATGAATGGATCTGTGGATGTAGGCTTGGCTCACAAAAAATTGCTGTGCTAACATGTGCTTAAGGCTTCATGAAGTGCTGAAATACTGTTTTGACAAGGATTTTTTCCAGAGCCTGGTCCTCTGTTTCCTTAACCTCCCCTTCCATCTGAAAGGAAGGCTGGGATTTTGTGCATTAACTTGTCCTGAGGAGAAGCAATGTGTAACAACTAATCTGAGAAATATCAGCTCTGGCACATGATAAAGGAGAACAGAATATACAGGAATAAATGAGTAGTAAATAAGAAAACTTGATGACTGCTGTATGTCAGTACCAAATCATATAGTCAGGGATAAAATCCTGACCCTTCAGAAATCAAAAGCACAATACTTGCTAAATCATACGCCAATGTCACTGTCAATACTGTGAACAACACATTATTTCCCAGATTCTTTTGCAGAAAAAAACCCAACCCATAGCTCCTCTTGGGAGTATTATTTTATACACACAGCATATCTGAAAGGAAAGGAATTCATGTGAGTAGAAATCTGGAATATTATTTAGAGGGACTCAAAGCCTTTGAAGTACCTTTATCATTTGAGTTCTCTACGACTACTGATTAGTAAAGATAAGCAATTACTTTTTTTTTGCATATATATAGGATCTTCTAATTTTTGCAAACTATAAGATCTGTACAATTACCATTCATTTTGCAGATACTTTCCAGCCTTGTCTGGAATTTGTCTCCCATGTGAATTACTTCTGTAGAAAGAAGAGAGCTATCAGATTGCAACCAAAACACGTAACAGAGATAAGGAGAAGGCACTAAAGACACTTCTGTTCACAATGCAGCATCAAATATTCAGAACTTCTTGAAGGCAGCTCTAAAATTCTTTGTATTTTATGATTGCCCATGATTTTGGATGACAGTTCAAACAATACGTCCAAAATTTTGCTTGCCAAAGGGTATTTCTTTTGTTTTGTTTTGGTTTCTTTTTTGTAGTTTAAATATTAATCTCCATGCTGTCAGATTTGAAACGTTGAAGATGGATTAGCAGCTTGTCCAAAATATCAGACAGGCCTTGTAGTAAACACTTTCAAGAGGCACAACATTGGCAGAAAGCTTTTGAAATTTCAGTCCACAAGTAAAATGTCAACTAAAGGTTTAAAAGACTTGCATGCTGGCATAGATTAACATTCACTTGTCCTTTCATGTGCAAGAAACTGATCACTTTCATTTGCATTTTCAGGTTCATCCACTTCTTCCACAGGGTTCTTTTCTTGCAACCCACTATTTTCTGAACAAGATTCATCATCTCCATTGCTACGATGACCTTCAAGACTGTGTCTGATACCATAGGCAAAGTAAATGAGGAAGCCTTCCAAAAGGAAAACAGGCAAAAAGGGCATTAAAAAATGGTTAGTTATTACGTTCTCTGGCTGAATATATTTTCCAAAGCAAGTTTCTTCAGGTATCGGAATCAGAGCTCATGCTTCAGGTCTTTCCTGTTTCTATGGAAATTCCACTGCATCATCTTTGTGTAATTAAATGCTCTAGTAGGTCATGGAAACTACTGTCTCTAATTTATATCTAGATTGAATTAATACAATTTTCCACATCTTAAAGAAGAATGACTGGTATAACTGTTTGTAACAGGCTTCTGCACCATTTTAACTCTATTAAGGGAAAAAATGTGGCTTATTGAATTAGTCCTGTAACTTAAGATTCTTTCTATTACCTCAAAACTGTACTTACTTTTTTGACTGCATATAAATACTACTTCTGAAGCACATTCTATTTTTTATGAGAAATATCAGCTGACTTTTATTAAAATAGAATTATTTTCAAGTATTTAAATGAATAGAAACAAATGTTCTAAAATGGGATCAGTGAGTTTTAATATGAAAAGTGACTGAAATGAACAGAAGTACCTACCAAGTGCCATCCAGAAGCTAAACCTGATCCAAGTGTCTCCACTTAATTGTACCATCAAGTAAATATTTACCAGGATACTTAATGATGGCAAAAATGGCACTAGTGGAACCTAAAAGGAAATATTTAGTACATATGTATTAAAGATAATTTCTTGCATGTCACACTTCAGTTACACAACACACACTAGAGGTGACACATCTAATCACTAAAAAAGAATTGAGGTGGATCTTTTATTGGAATATAGTAAAATTTTCTTCTTCACTAGGTTTAACGACCAGTTTCTACATATCTTAAACTCTTGAAATACATTATATTTAACATCTATTCTCTAAGACTGTGTAGAAAAACTTTCCAGTTTGTGCTGAACATATACTAATGAATTCCTGTTTCTACAACTGAAAAATATTATATATATTTTAATATATCCCTTCCTCCTGAAATGCCTCCCAGCTCCACTGGAGTTCTAGACCTTGACCACTGTACATTATTATTTCTAATCTTAGAATGTAAATGAAAGCTGAAAATAGAAGGATTATACTCTGGAGGGTATGAACTATACTGTGGTCTATGGTATTGCCCACAGCACAGACCAGTGATTGTACACTGATCAGTTTCTGAATCATTTTCCAGTTTCTAAATGCTTGAGGTCTAAAATTGCTTGGATCTCAACAATGCATACTTTTGAGGATGTACCTAAAGGAATATCTAGATGATCAGTGCTGTCAGGCCTCCTTGTTACAATAGCAGCTGTTCATATCAACATCAGCGGTACAGCCATTTTCTGCAGCCATGCTCCTATGCATGTTATACATTCTATCTGCAGCAATAAAACCCTTTCTCCAGTCCTGAGAAGGTCTGGACTGGGCTACACAGGCTGATGATTCAACCATGACCATCCACTACTCTTACCTTCACCAAAAAACCTGAAATAGTGGCAGTGCCCCTCTCCCACTTGTTAGAATACATCCAAACTTCTCATTAGAATGACATAGAGAATATGTTATTCACCATAAAGGCCACTTTGTGCTGGTTCTGAGGCTGCCTTTGGATGAGAAGAATGGTAACTATGAAGGATGTCATGAATACAGCAAGAAGGCCAATACTCCAGAGCTCCAAGTTAGCAATGGAATGACTCATGTATGTAGTGAGGACACTCAAACCACAAACCAAGCAAGCTGTGTGAAGACAAAATGATGAAAATAGGAAAAAGGTCACTTAATCTCTGTATTGATGAGGAAGGTAGCTTTAAGAAGAATGATAGCAGGTCTTCAGTATGAAATGTTATTGTGAAAATGCTTAATTAAAGGAAAACATACCACACTACAGATTAGAGCCATCAAGAAGTATAAAAGCATTCTGCAGAATGACACATTAATTATGACTGAAAGAAGGCATGTTATCACTGGATTTTTAATTTTGCCTTTAGTAAAATTCCATTATTTATGTTAATGTATTACATGAGTTTGGACAGCTGAATACTTACCTAACAGACCCACTAAAAAGCTAACTGTAGTTGCAGTTTGCTCAGTAGGTAAACTGGATGGATTAATCAGCGCCTGAAGACTGAAGTGTTTCTCTTGTATCATATTTATTTGTGATTCGCTTACTGCAGATTCCCTTTCAGATGCAGCCAAAGCTGCTTTTTCTGGGGAATATTTTGGTTGCTCATAACTTAAACTGGGTTGGTACCTATGCATAAAACAAAGAACATAGTAGAAAGAAATAAAGCTTACTTTGGGATTTGAAGCAATATGAGTCTAAGAGTGTATTTAAATACTAAGTTATTGGGAGTAGAGGTTTAGAATTTCCCAATTTAGAACTGCACTGCAGCAGCATATATTGTTAGTCACTATCATATATAAACAAACTACGGCAACTCAATTTTTGCTGGGGCTTGGGTATTTTTGGTACATTTTTTAAAGCTACATAAATGCACCAAGGAGTCAGATATATGATCAGTCTCGTACAAAAATAGGTGACAGAGTCTGGTGGTCAATGGTAGGGAAGGGGAGGGGGCACCTTTCTGACTTGCTTCATGTACTGTAGAGGCCTGATAACTGGCATAAACTGAAATTTTACATCTGCCTTGTTAAAATTTAAGTATATTTTTAAAAATACATTTTAAATAATTCACTATGGAATAACACAGTCTTTTTTAAAGTGTAAATTATTGCAACAATGAATTTGAACTGAATTAAAGGTGCTTCTGAGCTATCTAGCAAAAAACACACTCTGTAAATGTCACTTCTGTGTATATACTGACCAACACAAAATAAAACACAGTAGAATACAAAAGGATGGTTTTGACTCACCTAAGAATAAGGACACAGGTTGCCACAAGTGAATAAGCAAGAAGTGTACCAATAGACATCATGTCCACTAAAGCCTTTAGGTCAAACAGAAATGCCATTATAGCTAAAAAAAGGAGAGAAAGGAAAATGCTAAATTTATATGAGGCTGACATAGAATCATAGAATGGCTTAGGCTGGAAAAGACCTTTCAGATCATTGAGTCCAACCATAAGTGCTAAGATTTAACATTAAGACATATTGAGAGATAAGATTTTAAAATCTGGCCACTGTGTAACTTTACATTGTTTTACTGACAGCAGTATGAGTGAAATCATTGTACTCCTTAAAAACTCAGTTTTGAAGTCATCGCCAACATTCCCGAAGCTAATTTCCTACAGCTGGGAATCTTATTCATACAGATAAGCACTGATGAGCCCTACAGTCATGCTGCATAATCAGGTACTTTGTATTGGACTTACTTGAACATAAGTATTTGCATACATGGCTTCTTGAATTGTGGCCACATTAAAAATACATTTCCATAGAATAAGGTTCAGATCCTGCAACAGAATCTCACCAAAGCTGAGAAGATGGATCCCACTGCAAAACTACGGAAAAGTGATCTGACCCAGTAAGTGACCAGTGTGTAAAATTTCTGCTGAGGTGAGAGCGAGCTCTATGTAAAGAGGACTTTTAGGAGTTATCGCAAAAAAAAAATAGTTTTATAGAGGTTTTTTAATTAATTTTTTTAAATGTATCTTACCAAAAAAAAAAAGTTAAGTGGCCTTCAGGAAAAGCCATCAAGTTCTCAGAAGAATTAATATTAAGATCATTGAAATCAGAGGCAGAAACTTCCATGATACCAAGTGTAATTATAGCTGTCTTTGTGTTTATAAAAGTTAACACCAGTGTCTTTTGGATATTATGGAATGTCTTTTTTGTCAATGCTGTTTGCACACAGACACACATAGCTCATAGAGACACTGGCACAAGCCGTCAATAAATGAAAGGCTAACACCAACTGAACTGGAATACATGCGGTCAAAGAACCTCTTAAGATATTTGTATCCTCTAACATTATTGACATGCAGAAAGAATCTAAAAATACTTAATCTTTTGATTCCTCAGTAACCTCAACATCAAAAGAAACTATTGAACATAGTCTTTACACACTACATGTATATGTACACAGATTTTTCTATATTCAGAAATACTTTATATAATATTTATGTGCTTGTTAATAAATCTCTAGGCAAGAAACAATGGTAGATTAATTTATGGTGAAACTTTGGTCTGACAGAAGAACATTTTGTTATGTGCAGAGTTTTGCAATCATGATTGCCACCTGTGAAAAGGTAAGCCACAGTAATAACACGTGACAATTTGCCTCAGCTATAGTCTTTGCCTGATAACTGTAATTAAGGGGCCAAACACCTAATCTTAATGTTTCTTAAAACTATGAAACTACCCACGCTACAAATGAAAAGACAGATAATAAAAGCTGTTGCATACGTCAGTAACTATTCTGTCAAAACTGTTTATGACCGCAAGTTACTAAATATGCATTTTTTTAAAAACAGAAGAAGAAATTACTGCTTTTCCAGCAGTAAAGCTGTCTTCAGGCAAGTTGTTGGCACACCAAATTCCCCAAACCGTCTAAAAGCAGTGCAAGTGATGGCTGCTGCATAGCTATAGTCAGGGCTGTGTAACTACATCAGTCAGTTTATCAGCTGGGCAATACGGTTTTCTTTCTCCCCATCATTCTGTGATTTCAGACAAAGATGTTAATTTAATCTCACAGAACTGCACTTCCAAATTATTATAAGGGAGTAGCTCAATATTATGAATTCAAATAACAAAGTCAGAACAATAACATTAATCCTAAGCAATTTATTTGCACTCTGACCAAAAGGAACTGGTAATAATGAGTCATGTGGGCACTATCCAGACAATGCCTGTGCCTTCCCACATTATTGCCAAGTACACAGCATGAGCAGTGCCAGTCTTGTGGCATCTGAGGATGACCCTGACTATAATTATTTTATTTTCAGTTCTGAATTTCTTATTTTATATCAATTTTAGCCAGAGTTGCTAAATCTTATAAAGCATGTATTTCATATTTGAATTACATCTAGAGGTTCCAGTTTTCCTGTGTCATTAGACATCCCACTGAAATGGCAATGAAATTTGGACACAGTTACATGTACCTTTGCAAGAAGCGTGGACAAAACTGAAACACTTACATGTTAAGAATTTCTCTTTGTGAAACATTAGGTGTTGGCAACAGCTCCCAAAATGCTGTTTTGGTAAAGTAAGTGTGCATGTATGTGATACACATATAACCCCCAACACACACACATACCTCTCAACCACAATTTGGTAAACCTATACAAAACCAGAATCATTTTTTTTAGCAGAAAATGAAAAAAAAACTTTGCATTTTACAAAAAGTTCATCTGGCTGCAAACGCAGATTTTTTTTCTCATGTCTTATAATAAAAACCGTGATTTATTCCCCCCCCCCTTTATACATGTGATAAAGATAAAGGTGTACATCAGACAAGGAAACCCTGTGAGAACAGCACAAGCCTAAGGGACCCAGATTAAGTAACCAGTTTATTCACCATACAAGGGGCCACTATTAAAAAAAATACATTAAAAAATCATTGTGAATTCTGTGACATTAAGGACATCACCACCACCATGATTGGTATCATTTGGAATTCCTACACCCTTTGATTACTCAGTAATTTTATTCCCATTGTACATGCAAGGGAAGTTAACAAGCAGCCCTTTTCAAAAATATCAAATACCATGCACGTGCATAGAGTGTTTAAATCTCAGTTTTAAGTAACACGGGCTTTGAGAGCTTACCAGAGATGACCCCTGCTGTCAAGGTGGCATAAACTGGTGCCTGCCTCTTACTCACTTTGGCAAGAAAACTAAAGAGTAAACCATCGCGTGCCATGGCAAACAGAATTCGGGGCAAAGGGAACATAGAGCCGAGAAGACTAGAACAGAAAAATGTATAGTTCAAATACAGGTTATTAAAAGCACAATGCTTTACTGGTAAACCCAACTACACAAAAAGCTTGGAAGAGTTAATGGGTTTAGGTATGGTTTTGGTTTAGGCTCTGTGTTGCTGCTCTTGTTTTTTTTTCAGTTGACTAATGTTCTTGGGTTTGGGTTGCTCTTTATTTTGAACCTAGGTTTTTAAAGCACTTGAGATTAACCAATAAATACAAAATGTGTGATAAAGAAAAGTTTTTCTGGTAGCCTACTTCACCTGGCAACAATCAGATTTGACCAATTCAGTCCAAAGCAAATGAAAGCTGCACAACAGTGGTTTATTTCCATAAATGCATTTGTTTAGCACTGCACCTTTCTTTACAAGGATCAACTCTTAGTCTCACCTGCTACTGCACCAGACGATAGAGTAGCAACTAGTGGGGTCTTCGTTTTGGAATTGATTTGAGCTAGACATTTGAAAAGCAACCCATCCTTCGCCATAGCATAGATTACACGTGGCAGTGGAAAAATGGATCCAAGAAGACTGAGTAAAAAGCAAACACATGCAACATGGCAAACACGGTACATGCAGAATTGAATCATGGACAAGATAAACAATGTTAATTAATGGCATGTATAGAAATAAAAATTCTGATTACAAGACAAAATCAGAAAGCCCTGTATCCCAAGATACTACAGATCAGACACAAACAGAAATGTCTTTTTCTCTGTAAAGTTGATTAGCCGCCCTCCCCTTTTTATTTTTATTAATTTAAGCAGTGGAATTGCTTCATCAGAGAGATTTGAGATTAGCAAAATAAGTTGCCATCACTGTAGTTCTTGGGTATTAGTGGACCTGAATCATGTTCCAGGTCACACTAACTATGCAATTAAGCCTTAGTATTCCTGGAAAAAGTCTGTCAGTCAGCAGCAGCAAATCAATAAGCATTAGCAGCATCTCTTACACTCTACATTTCCATGTGAGGCTGCTAATTAACAGTAATTCAAAGTAAGCACCATGGGCACATTATTTCTTTTGATTAAAGAACCTCTAGCAAGCTTCATTAAAGATTTTTTTTTTTTTTAAGAAGTAAAGCTAATTAATTTAGATTTGTTATTAGCAAGACACAGAAAGCTTTCAGACTGTGATAACTTGAAGCTCCTTTTAAACGTATTTCTTAAATTAGGTGGTTTCTTTCCCTCCAAATGAAATAGTTGCAATTAAGAAAATCAGAAACACTGAAAGGACAAAAGGCGAAATCATAGCCAGTATAACCTCTGTGGCAAACACACTAGTTTTTAACCAGGTGAATGGTTGCCTGTCTTACTGTAGGGAATCAACTGTATCACTTACAGAAGGCACAGCTTTTACAACCACAGGTGCTACGTACCTCCTATAATGCTCGTGATACACAAGCATTAAGATCAGACGCAAGAGACAAGGTTCATTGCACATGAACTGATTTTGGTGTATGAATGGCCCTTCCAAAAAAGAATGTTTCCTGCACCATAGTGACAGTTGGTTTTTCAAGTAATGATACTGTTAAAATCCCCTGCCAAATTTTTTATTTATCTCTCATACTCCCATAAATAACGGAAATATTAACAAACGTCTTTACCCTGAAGAAGCAAGTTCACAGCATAACAAAGTAAGAGGTAAATATATGGACCAAAAGCAACAATCCCAACTTTTTTTCTTAATTATACCACTAAATTGACGAATATGAAATACAATTTCATTTTCCTTGTTCTAATAAACTGACATCAGTCAACAGACTGAAAGATTAACCTCCCCATATGAGTAAATATAATTCTTCAGAATACACTGGAGAGACCAACAGTTCGGATTTCTGAAAAAGCATCTTACTATCTCAATTCATTTTGGGTTTCAGTATTAATTTCTTAATCTAGTGTCTGATTATACATCACTTTTACTACTTATCAATATAGAGGAAAAATTCAGTAAAACCCTCCAAACTGAAAGGGACAATGACAGCTAGACAGAAAGTAACTAATCCCAGACTGAACTGCGCAACTACAACATTCTCCAGTCAGTCCTACAATTCTTTTAATGTCATTCTATGATAGAAAAAGGCAATAGTTCCAGAATCATAAAATGGCTCAAGTTGGAAAAGACCTTAAGATCATCTAGTTCCAACCCCCCTGCCATGGGCAGGGACGCCTCACACTAGACCACATTGCTCAAGTCTCTGTCCAACCTGGCCTTGAACACTGCTAGGGATGGAGCATGTACCACTTCTCTGGTCAACCTGTTCCAGTGCCTCACCACCTTATATCCTCTTACATCAAAATATTCTTTTCTTTTAAACTACTGTCCACAGCCAGTGTGCTCATCTTCTTCAAGCTAATGCTTACAGGGTTATCTTGGAGTACTGTTAGCATTAGCGCTTCATCAGGCATGTAATTTTCCTTTGTGGAAAGACAGCCAGTATTCTTACCACTGAAGCTCATGTAAATGACTCCTTACCTACATAACCTCAGGTAGTGGATTGGCATCGGCATTTTTCTATCCCTAAATTCAAGTATCAAGCAATTTTCTATTCCATGAAAGGGTTTATCCCACATTACATTATATGGGGTGTAATATAGATAAACACGTATCAATATATCTCCTGCCCTCCATCATCTTTTTAATCAAACTAACATATTAAGTTGTTACATCCATACTTTCACAAAGGGGAATAAATAATATTTTCACAGCTATAATCTACATCTCAGATACCCACACAGATACCACAGGAAGGGTTGATGTCAGAAGACAGACTGGCTACTGGAGGAAAACAGAAACAGGCAACGAAGATGAGGAGTGGAGCTAGTTAATCACCTCTTCAATTTTGCCTGCAAATACACAGAGCCCATAAAGCTGCTGAGTCATTAGGTGTATATAGCAAGAAAGAACAAAGTGGGTGAGGTTTATTTTATCAGTTGATAAAGATAACTTGCAGGTCATATGTCTGAAAAGACATGGTTTAATTAAAAAAAAACAAAAAACAAAACCAACTAACTTTTGGATAATAAGCCAAAGAGGTAGAGCTCAAAAACAGTACATCTCAAAAAAGGAGCTTAAATAAATGCACCTACTGTGATGAAGACCTGCAGAAGTCTAAAACATGCTTATAATACTTATTGGTAATAAGTATTGGACTGAGCCTTCAAAATGAATGCATGAACATGTATTTAAATATTCACATGCTATCCATCAGCTTTTCCAAATAAAATTAGTATTTGAATGTCTTTACCTTGTAGACAAAGCACAAAGCGATCCTGCTGCCACAACATATTTTGCAGGACCCCATCCAACATATTCAAAAGCAGCTGGCAAAGGATTCTCATCTAGTAGGTAGTATGGCATCATAAGTGTCAGTGCAGCTGAAACTCCAAAATAGGCCATGAAGCAGACAAGCAGGGACACTACAATTCCGAAGGGTATGGCTTTCTGAGGATTCTTGACCTCTTCTCCTGAAAAAAAGGAAAAAAAATGCCCCACCAAAGAGTCTTATTCATTTCCATCTTCAGCTTTAAAAGATAACACCAGAGACAAATCATCCATTAATCTAAAAACCATGGGAATCATATTTATAATAGACGTTTTAAAAACCTGTAGAAAACTACCTCAGTGACACAGAACAACTCAGTATTTTGTTGCCAGAAATAGCATTGATAGTAGAGGTAAAATAAAGGATATTTTATTTTAAAAATAAAATAAAATGCACTGTATATCTAGGGTATTCAAAGCCTATCATTTCTTGTTATTTACCTCCAATTTGTAAGTTCAATGTACTCGTTCCCTATTAGCCATACACAAGCCAGCATTTAGGAGAAATACCTCATCTCAGAGAATTGTAAAAGTGAGAAGGTGAATAACAGATTTGTGCAGAAAACAAAAATGTATACTAAGCACTTCCCAGACTTAGAAAGTAACAATTAATTTATTTTGAACAGAAGTAAGTATACATATATAGACACACATAAATACTATACCAGTTGTTGCAATGCAGTCAAATCCTACAAAAGCATAAAAACAGGTTGCAGCACCAGCCAGTGTTCCTCTGAAACCATATGGCATAAAGCCACCGCTCCCATAAATACTTGTCACATTCTCATAGGATGAACAATTCCTATTAAAAACAAAAATACAGCAGAAACATAACTTACTTTTTTAACTATTGGTAGGTCAAACACATCCATTCCCCTCTCCCACCACTATGGAAATACATGTTAAAATGCTCTTGTCAAGAAAGAGTTCTACTTTACAAAATGTCACAAGAAGACATTTTGTTGTCAAGGTTTGTAAGACAAAAATGACAGTAAATGGAAGAGTACCTGATTCAAGTAACTATCATCTTACTCACTTCACAGTTTGTGGAAAAATATATTAAAACACTAATGGTGTACACAATTCTTGTCATAATCACGTACTACAGTTATTACATGCTCTAAGGCCGAGAAGGCAGTAACCTCTCAAATAGCTATAGATACCAGTATTGAAGTAAGATGATTTTTAAAGGAAACTACAAACAAGAAAATAGAAAAAATATTTTTAAAGGAATAAAAAGTTTTATCATTCCCCAAGACATATTAGTTGATATATTACCTGCAATATCACTATTCCTTGTTGCCCAAGGAAGCTGTGAATGCTCCATTCCTGGCAGTGTTCAAGGCCAGGGTGGACAGAGCCTTGGGTGACATGGTTTAGTGTGAGGTGTCCCTGCCCATGGCAGGGGGGGTTAGAACTAGATGATCTTAAGGTCCTTTCCAACCCTAATTATTCTATGATACTAAAGCAAGTATAATAGAAAATTCCTTGGCATATGAGCAAGTAAATTGATTTTAAAAAATATTACTTTGTTATTGCAGTAAGGTTTATGAGATATTCTTCACTTATTTTCCAGTTGTCAGCATCTCCTTTCACAAAACCAGAAATCATAACGAAGAGTAGGACCAAGATGTTAATAGCAGTGAAAATTTTATTCACCCATGCAGACTCTTTTACTCCAAAAGATAAAAGACCTATAAAATAAAAATATTTTATAGATGTGAATGGTCCCTTAGACTAATAAAATATCATTTTAAAGAAGATAGGCATGTAATTACCGTATTTAATACTAAGCATCATTAAATTCAATACTTTTAAAAAGCAGTAGCACAAATTACTACTCTGACAGCAGTGCAATAGGCAAGTGTATTGGAAACCACAAAACACAAAGCTTCTTTAATTGTATTAAATATTTCTCATGGTTTAACCTCAGTGGGCAACTAAGTACCACACAGCTGCTCACTCACCCCCTGTCCAGTGGGATGGGGAGGAAAATCAGGAAAAGGTAAAACCCATGGGTTGAGATAAGAACAGTTTAACTGAAGTAAAACACAGTAACAGGAAAAAGGAAGATGAATAAAAACCAGTAAATAAAAGTGATGCACAATATTATTCCTCACCTGCTGATACCCAGCCCAACCCGAGCAGCAATTGGTCCCTTCTGTGTGACTCCCCCCAGTTTATATACTGGACTGGGCATGACATGGGTATGGAATATCCCTTTGGCTAGTTTGGGTCAGGTGTCCTGTCTCTGCTTCCTCCCAGCTTCCCATGCTCCTCCTCACTGGCAAATCATGAGAGACTTGAAAAGTCCTTTATCAGGGTAAGTGCTGCTTAGCAACAACTAAAACATCGGTGTGTTATCAGCGTTGTTCTCAGACTAAAGACAAAACACATAATTGCACCTACTACTAGGAAGAAAATTACTGCAGCTGAAATCAGAACAGTACTTAAAACTATCTTGAACAATTGTTACTTACAGCTTTTCTGAGATTCCCATTCATCTCTATTTTATGGAATGGAGCAAAAATAAGTACAAAAATTCTATTCTTAGTAAAAACAGATTGGTAGAATCTATTTATTCCATACTCATTACATTAATAAAATAAGGAAAATTATTAAATTAATGATGTAATCTGTTCAAAGATTTTCAGGGCGTATGCATCACAGAATAAGTCCTCATAGTCATTAATAAAGCCTTTAAAAGAAATGCATGCCTCTTGTTTATAAACACATTCTAGAAAACAGTCTGATTCGAAATACATATGCCTTAGGTTGCAGAGTAGTGCATTTAAATAATCTGAAAGTTATTCCATCAGGATTCTACTGTGTCATTAGGCTTGTAACAACTGTTATTGTACTAACAGTGTAATGGAAGAGCAGGCAGTGAGCAGATAAGGAAAAAAATACAGTGGAAAAACCTCCAGTTTCTTTGCAGTCTAAGTGTCTCCACTAGTATCCCGTACATGCTTTCCCTCATTATTTAGAGATTAAGTCTAAAACTTTTAAGCCTCTCAAGATAATGTCTAGAAAATTTCTGACTGCTAATGAGACATTTTCTATCTTATCATAACACAGACTTTATCATACGAGCTGTTTAAGTTTTCTTCACCAATGGCATTACTATTGGAAATAGACGTATGCTTTCTTTAGCTCAGTTTTTCCCAAGAAGGTATTGTCTCAATCAGTCTAACGCAGTAGGAAACATAGCATGCACATTTTTGAAGTCCTTTCTCTAGGAAAAAAAAATCCCCAAACCAGATTTCTTGTGTTTAGCACATAACATTTTCTGTAAATCATCATCGGCTGCTGCTATGACTCAGCTTTGCACAGCTCAGAATCCAAGCACTGTATCATGATCAGCCTTGAGCCATATCCCACTGCCCCTCCACTCAGCAGCAGTGAATTCCACCAGTCCCTCCATTGGTGCTTGGGCTGCTTAGCACAGAAACCTGCAGAGCTAATTTGTCATACAAGTGAAAAGGAAGTGAAGAAGGAATGATGGTGGGGATAAAAAGACAGGACACAAATGAAAACTCAGGAGCAATGGTAAACCTCAGAAGAACATCTCCTCTTCCATCAGGAATCTCTACCTCTTATGGTAGGAAGAAGCGATGGAGAGAACACAGAAGGTGCCTGCATCTATACTAGTGTTTTACATTTTGGTTTGTTTCAGTGCTCTGCTTTTCAAAATGTTAGTGTTTCCTTTTTCCTTTGGAAGAAGTGAAACTGAAAGGTCAGTTCCAGCTACACACTGAATTCATTCCCATCATTCCTGAAGATGTAAGGGTCTGAACTCCGTTTGTGGCAGCTCTGAGCCACAAACATGGCAGGATGCTGGACTAAACCTTGTCTAGTAAACTCCCTGATCTTCCTAAGTGTGGAAACTCATCTTTTTATGTACAGAGACCTAATAACAGCTTCAGATGCACTGCTTGTCATTAGAAGTTGAGCAGAAATGTTTTTCTAAGTACCAAGTCCAAAAAAGCTGCTCAGAATAACAGAAGGTTATACCCATATAACTGAGCTTCAATTTACAGAGAAGATAAGCTCCAGCTTTTGTTTGATCTAAAGAGACTGAACATGACAAATATTTGAGATAAAGATAAGACCTCTACCAAGTACTGAAATGCTTCTAGTATTGGCTGACTAAAAAACTATACACTTTAGAACACACTACTTCTGTCACTCATATGGTAGTAAGAACGTTTCCTTATGGAAAGCAATTGTTAAATGCAAACATGCAGAAGATATTTGAGCTTTCTGATGCCTCAAAAAGCACATAGTTATATACTTGATGTTAATTTTTGTGATTTAAACACATAATACAAGAGTAAAGATAAAAAAGAAACAGAACTGAGTGAACTAGACCTAAAATATTTTGTCAGGTTTCAGAGTGGTCTGTTGGGCCATACTAGTACCTTGGGGTGCCCTTTAGCCCAAATAAGTTCTAGGCTAAACAACTCTTTTGAAGACTTAGAAAGGAGAAAGTTATTTTTATACTTAATAAGTTATCAATTTAGGGAAAAAAAAAACAAAAAAACTTACAAGTATACATTACATGCACAATCTGTTATTTAAGGAGAGCACATAACGTCATCGAACTACAGAGCTTAACCTCAACATCCCTCTGAAAGCTTTTACCAGTGATAAAGCCGTAAAGCCCACACAGAACTGTGTAATACTGACAAGTGATTATTTCATGTCCCAACTTCAACAAGAGGGTGCACATAGAATTTGATTATCTACATTTAATTCCCAGAGTCATTGGGTCCATAAACAAATGTGCATCTGAACTTCTTAAACATTATTAAGGTATTTCTGGTAAAACACAAACTACAACTTAGCATTTTTGTCTGTAAGACATCACAACCACCATAAATGAAGCCATATTGTCTTACCTGCTAAAAGTAATACAAGGAATACAGCAAAGAAGTCAGGATACTCTGCTAGCCCAGAGTAATTCATTTTGAAGTAGGTTCTGAAGATATGACTAATCTGCTTTCCAAGAAGTTCATCAAAGGTGCTACTCCAGGCTCTTGCTACACTTGATGTACCTTCACAAAATACATGCATGTTTAGGATTTTGCATACAGTGGCATACAGTTACTTCTACTGAAAAAGAAAGAAAACTAAGCATGTTGCTACTTGCATTTAAAAAAGCAGAGCTTGTGTTAAAACGATAATTTTATTTTGCTGAGTTTTAACATTTTAGAATTTTTCTACATAGTTAAATTAGAACATATTATCCTATAACTAAAATATATAAATTTGCACCTTATTTATTCCCAAAATATTGCAGAAATTACTTCTGTATCATTTATGTCTGATGTCATTCTGGAAGACACTTATTTCTCAATTTACAATATGGCGTATGTTAAACAATATAAAGTAATGTAAGAAAGCAGTTTAAGAAAGAACTTTAAGAAAGAAAGAAAGTTTGTCCCCCCTGGAAATAAAGCAAAAAAGTCACTACCAAGATGCATATTGCTAGTTAGCATTTAAGATTTATACTCTCCTATGGTAAAGAGTGCATGTGGCCACAGCTAAATAGAGCCTTATTTTTACAACTCCACTATCATGATCTGCACTTTAACACAATACTCAGGCATACTGATTATGGAGTGATCTGGGCAACAGTCCTATAGTTAGATATACATATACAGCTAGGTGTGCTTATACGCAATGTAATGGATGCTTGGAACACGTACATCTGGAAGAAAATGTTTTTAAATCAAAAAATGTCATCTCTGCTAAAGCACTGAAATATCAAATGTTATCTGAATACCTGCCATATAAGCATTGATTTTATTCAGATTTGGTCTACTGTATTTTACAAGATTACCTGATAGGACACTATTTAATTAGCATGAGGCTATAGTAACAAGTTAGTACTTAAACATCATGGCGTTCTTGAAGTGAGATACTATAGTGATGGGATCACTGTAAACATCCTTACTGTGTATATTCAGGGGAAAAAAAAAAAGCTTATTGGTTTTACTGAAATCATTGTTGCTGAACAAAGACAGCAATGAAATCCTGTTTATTCTTGTGCATCACCACTGAACAGACATGATTTTTATAAAAGGTATGGAGTTCATTCTGCTGAAGATTCATTGTTTACAAAAGCATCTTGCAAAAAGCCTGTCTGCAATGATGATGCACAGGAGGACATAGCCTAATCAAATTACTTTGGTCATTTCATCTCGGCAGGAGTTAAAAGCAAGAATAGCTAAGTATGAAGACAGAAAAGAAAGACAGACCCAAAACTGCATCTTACATCTGCCATCTCAGAAGCCCTTCAGACCTGTGTTTGTTCTTAAGCTTACCTATAACATAGGATAAAATGAGATTCCAACCAGTGATAAAAGCCCACAGTTCCCCGACAGTTACGTAAGTATATAAATATGCAGAGCCAGTCTTGGGAACACGAGCACCAAACTCAGCATAGCAGAGACCTGCCATCACAGATGCTAGTGCAGCAACAAGAAAAGAAACAACGATGCTAGGTCCAGATTCAGATTTGGCTACTTCTCCAGTAAGGACATAAACACCAGCACCAAGGGTACTTCCTACTCCCAGGGCTAAAAGGTCCATTGTTGATAAACATCGGCACAACTTGGAGTCCTCGAGACTTTCACCACTGACATTCTTCTTCCGCAAAAGACACCGAACAAAGGACAAAGCTGGTCCACAGGGCAACATGGTGAATGTAGAGCTCTGAAATAAAACAAAATCATTACAGTACATAAAAAGGTAAACACCAGTGAAAAACAATGAAAAAATATATTTGCATAAAGAGCGTTAATCACACATACTAATTTATATATTTATACTCTTCTGTGACATTAAATAAGCTGGCATATGCTTTTCTCCCGGGAAACAAATTTGGGATTCAGTATTTCTAATTTTATATTTAACACTTATTCCCCTAGGGAAAGATATCCATTATCTTTAGGTTCACTACACTGCTTTTAAAAGAAGTAATTGTTTCTATTTATTTGCTAATGGTAACTTCTTAACCATTTCTAAAACAGAACCGGAATACACTTCTATGATCTCATGTCATAAGGACTTTTAAGATAAGGATCAACAGCAACATAAATAAGGATTTTTAAGACCTAAAACTCCAACGCTAAGGCTATAAGCAGCAAAAGCTTTAAAACACAGCATTCTGAGAGAGCCAATGCAATCTCCTTTTACCTTAAAATACATGGCTTTTGCCTCTAGAATTTGCATCAGTAAAAAGTGCTTAAAAGCAGATTAAAATAGTGTTTCTACTCCCTCCCACACCAATGAAGTTTCCCAGAACTAATTATCTTTACAAGAAATCTTGTGCAACTCTCATCTAACAAAACCTGCTCATAGCATGCCAGCTGCAGTTCCTCAGTATTCTGAGTGCACATCACAGTGTGGGGTGTGATCGGCTCTTGTACACAAGGTCAGGTTTTGTGACCAGCTAGGTCCTGGAGGCCAGTAGGTGAGCAGCACCTCTCTGGCCTGTGATACAGGTGCCTGCTAGGAACAGCTTGCTTCCCAACTCAAAAAAAAATGGTAGCTGAGGGTCCAAAGCATTTGCCTGGGAGGCAGGACACTGACATCCCATAGACTATAAAATCTCAAACAGGTAACATTAATGTACAAGTTCTGTTTTTCTTTATATATTTGTTTGGATTGTTTTTTTAATGACTTAAGAGTTTGGTAAGAATTAAGAGATACCACCTGCCATCTCCCCAAACTGATGTTTGTTTTTGCAGCTCATATCATAAATATCTATACTCATGATTTGTTAAGGGGAACCCTCCAGGGGTCTGAGAATCTTTTTCATTTAGGCAGAATATTCTGGTGTTAGATTCCTCCCCCATCCTTATCAGTCTCCTAGATCAGTAAAGGGCATTTTTACTCACTATAGTTCAATCCACTAACAGCAATGGCTTTGCATTAAGATGGATAGCTCACTTAACTGTGTTTGATCTAGGAGAGAGTCAGAAGCAAGAGAACTGCCACCCTAATACTAGATAGCTTGAAAAAAAAATCCTCTTGGGTATGAAAAAGAAAGGGAGAGATATCTCTGTGAGGGACCATTTCCTCCCTATTCCTGTAATAGGTCCCAGGACAGCGTTTGGAGGCAAGAGGGAGGTTTCCAAAGTACTGCTCCAATTAGACTCCTTTCAGCCCATCAACCTCCCAGGGATAAGTATCTGCCCATGGTATGTAGACTTCATCTGCTAAGGAGAGTTCACACACCAGCTTCAGAATTAAGATGATGTGCATGTGGTAAACAGAAGAGATCCACAGCCTCTTCTGAGGGGACTCAGTACTTAACTGCTCAGGCAAAATCCCTTGCTGTAGCTCCTGAAATCTTCAGTAAGTGCAGCCTTTCCTTGGGCCTGAGGCTGAGGTGCTCCACTCCCTCAAAGCCAGGTTCATCTACCATAGGGTGTACAGCTTGACAAGTATTGCCAAGGCCACTATGTTTTTCTCCATAATGACACTTCTGAAGCTGTAGCAGTCACTTAGGATGTTATATTGATATACTCATGAGGCTGTAGCCTATAGCAACAGGTAGCAACACTCTTGTGGACTCTATGCCCTTACAATTTCAATCTTGCAGAAACATGGCGGGTTTTTGCTACTGCTGAATGCCAAGTTCACCGTTATATATCTCAAATGTGGCCCCCTTTCCAATTTGTCTGAGACATCCCAAGATGCTGGTACTGTTCACTTCATAGAATCATAGAATAGTTCAGGTCGGAAAGGACCTTGAGATCATCTAGTTCCAACCACCTTGCCATGGGCATGGATGCCTCACACTAGACCATGTCACTGAAGGGTCTTGATAAGAAGGTGCAGCAGTGGGAACTGATGAGCTTATGAGGATATTTGGTCCCCACACAAGACCAAATGACATAGGTTACCAGTGACAAAGTGTCTTCAGATATCACTGACAAGCGTAACCTTTTTCTGAGATGACCCTTGTAAGATAGACCCTTTATTGCATTACCCATTATTGCAAGAGAGCAGCCTGGGGTCTGGCTCAGTGCTGACATGTGCTGACTCACAGGTACAGGTTATCATAACACTGTGGTTGAGCACTTTCCATGCTCAAACAGTAACTTACTGAAGCAAAGAAGGTAACAGCTGGGTGTGACTTTTGGTGGCAGCATTGCCCTAGATAAGTTTACACAGACTGCAACCACACAGTTTAAAAAGGGTCTTATTCCTGCCTTGGCATGGTTGGCCAGATCTCATGGTTTCCTTGTTTGTTGAACTTTAAGACAGAGAGGAGTATGAAGCAGGGTAAGTGAACACAGAAAAAAAGTGGTCTCTCCTACTTTGTCTCAGTTGTTTTCCTAATTACACCTTTTTACTTCCTCCTTTTGCTGCTGCAGTCTAAGCCTGCTTCATCCTAGCAGACTGTTGTGGCCTCTCCTTCCACTTCACCTCTGCTGCCCTGAACTCCACCAGCACAGCCTGGACCCTTGGTGAACATCCTGCACAGCAGATGAGCACTGGCTCTTTTCTGAGCCTTCCAGGAAAGGCACACTAGACAGCTTGGGAAATGGGGTTTTGGTAATATACTGGGTAACCAATCAAGGAGAAAATAAGCTCTCATAATCCTCTGCTCCTGACAGAGCTCACAGTGTTTCTGAGGCATCTCTGAGACACCCATCCTACATTTCTTGGAGCAGACTTGGATACCTGCCTGCATTTGAACAACAGTGTTAGGCATGGAACCTAAAAGCACAATTGGTCAGGGTGGCCTGAGTTGTTCATGCGGTTTAAGCAGAGCCAAGATTGAATCCTCAGCTTATACAGAGTTCAAGCATAGGAAACTGGTGATAAGAAACCAAAAAGTAAAATGCCCTTGCACTCACTAGCAGTGTGAGTTATTTCTAATTAAGCTGAATAGCAGACCCAACTGGTTGCTTCTCCCATGCATTCAAACCTGTGTTAGGCTCCCCTTCAGTGAAGTCTACTTTACAGAGACATTGCTCACAAACACCTGTGAAGTCCATTTGTGACTGACCTTCGCACGTTCCTTTTGCTGGGTACAACTGAGTGGGCAGCTCTCTAGCTCTGCATGTGCTGGGTCACTGCACTTCTGAAGCCTCTTCTGGACTAAGTTTTTCTTTAGCTAGAGATTGTTCTATAACATTGAATATGTCCAACAGTCCTCTGAAAAAGTTCAGGCCCAGTTCAACTGCCCTAGACTTGACCAGTGTTCAGCCTCCTCCTTCCTTGAACCCATTCCTAGAAAGAATTGCAATGTCATCCACATTGTGGTTTGCACTTTTATCCCTTCAACTGCATGCAACAAAGAGGCAGGACAGACACGAAAGGAACTGAACAGATCTATCTAACATGGGGGGAGGGAATTCCAAAAGCTTCCTCATGTCTAATGGACATTCAGAATATTTGTCAGAGTACCTTAGTAAGCACAGATACTTCTCCAATCCCCTTTGTTCTTTATTCTCTTGTTTTTTTTCTACAGTAGCTGCTGACAGACCCTTCTTTATTTCAGTCTTTCCTGGCCAGTTGTGAACCACATAATTTACTGGTTGACCACCACTCATTTGAAAGCTAATCCAAGAAGATGAGTCCAGCCTTATAGTTCATACCAACTCTTCCATTCAGCTGAATGATCAGGAACATTTAATGGTCATCTATTGTTAGCTATCTTCTAACAGAAAAAGTTTGGTGTCAAAAAAACTTTCTAAATACAAACACAACCCAAAGGACAAAGTCTCCCTCTGCAAAGTTTATAGTCATCTTTAAAACTCCTTTGACTGTTTCACAGTCAGGTAAAATCTACCATTTTTGCAAAGTCTTTTCTATGTAAAAATAACCTAGCAGCCCCTACCCAAAACAAAATGCAAACAATATGTGGATATTGGAGCAAAAAGTAACTTATGTATTACCATACTCTTCCATTAAAAGAACATTTCAATATAGTTACATGTAATAAGTGTTTTAAGTTAGTACATATCAAACCCAAGCTACAGGTGGGAAAACCCAAAGTTTTACTGCAGTTGCCATTCAATTTTTCCTACAAAATTTTCCATTAAAAGCTCTAATAAAAAAAAAGATAAAAATCTCAAATGGAAAGTAACTGTTATAAAGCAATACAAAACCTCTAAAAGTTTAAATACTGTTATTGAGATGTGTTTAAAGATTCCTATAGCAAAAGTAATTTCAAGATAGTTTACTTATATTTTGTTGAGCTAATACTATATACTATAATATACTATCAATTTTAGGTGCAGTAGTTTAACATTTAAACAGCATACCAATGAGGGAAACCATACTTCAGTAAGTAACATTAAAAATGGGAAAATATAAATATATGCATGTTACATATAGATTATACAGCCTCATTTTCCTGAAAAATTTAAAGTTTACATTTTGTTTTCCATATGTAGAATTTATGAGAATTCTTTTTTCCTCTGAAGTACATTTAGCCTTATTCAAAATTGCACTATTGCATTGATTACATCTAGTGCAACAATATATGAAAGTAAAAGAATCCATATAGAGATGAAGCAAAACTAGGTCTAGTCCATGATTTGTGTGTGTATACACATGCACAAACAATACATGGTTTTATGGCAATTGCCCTAAAGTTGATGTTGTGCCCAAGACTTTCACAAAACTCCTAATGCCTTGGAACATTTGAAGTAGTGTATTTGAATAATACTTAAAGCCCTAAAGCTGGAAACAGCACCTATAACAGAAGTCTAATAAACAGGAGAAGAAAGTTTTGTCATTCAAAGCAGAATCACCTTCCCATCAGACTAGTAAGAAAAACAGAAATTGTATCTTCTACATATTAACACTGTAATTTGCACTTTGTCAGAGACACAAAAATGCTGTAATGTAAGCTAAATACAATACTGCATACCACAGATCTTGCTACTCAAAAAGCACATGTTAAAGGCAAAGTTTCCTATGATAAACTATGTTGCTTTCAGATTACTTCATTCAAGCAGTGAATTTCATTACAAACCTGATCAGAGCAACTTCTGCTGGGCAAACTTCTGCTCTTCTTACCCAATCCTGAATTTTCACCGTCTTAAAAGGAAGAGTAATGACTGAAAGTGATTTTATTAAAATATTTGCTTTAAAAGCCGGCTGTAGGTGGTGCGAGAGCTGTTGGTGCTTGAGGGGTGGAGGCTCTGCAGCCAGGGTGATTGGAAGGTTTGCAAACTGGGCAGCTATTTGCCCAGCTAAAGCAGGCAGGGAGGGAGGGAGATAGTCTTGCTGCTGTTCAGATCAATTATATCCACAGTCTTCACAATAAAAAGTCCAAAAGGAATGCCACTTTCTACATCTAAACACACTTATCTGCTTGCACATGAAATTCATACTGTAGTGAGGGTACCCACCACATCTTCCCCCAGGGACTCCTTTTACATATCCTGAGGGAAAAGCAAAAATGTGGATGTCAAACTTGGTCTCCCACTTCAAAAGCAAAGTCTTCCTACTGCCTATGTAGGAAATAAACTGGCTTTGAAGCATATCAAAGGATACTTTGCAGTGCTTTGAGACCTGAATGTAATAGCATAGCATGAAAATTGCTTTTGCTAAGTTTTAGAATAATATATGTAGTATTGCTATGGTTAGAAACAACACAGAAGATAGTATATTTACAGAAACTGGTCAGAGCCTATTCTGTTGAACTGGGGTAGATGCACCATATATTTTCTTCTCCTTTATATGGCTTGAAATGTAAAAATGCTGAAGCCTGAAATTAGAACAGTCCAAATATTCCTGTGACACAACCAATAAATAACCCTCTGTCTTAAAAATTAGCTTCCAGAATAAACCAGACTCCAATGGATAATATGCAGCTGTATTTTTATTACTTCCAGTGACAGACAACCTCACCCTAAACATGTAGCAGCATTTCCAGTCAACATTATTCACAGCATATTGTTTCCCCTTAAACACTTGTGCTTCAGTGTCTCTTTCTTGAGAGAACACTGGAAATAACAGCCTTGCAAAGAAAAGCCCTATGCCTCTAATCATTAAAATGTCTTTCCTAAGAAAATAAGGAGAATAACACATCTAGTGTGGCAGTCCCCTGCAATTTGCTCTCAGCCTTTAGTTTTTCCTGAGTGTAAAGTCTACCAGTGCTCCAGGGGCACAGAAGACTACTCTTCTTTCATGAAAAGTCCTGCTTCCTGTGGCCATATGCAAGGGCAAACTACACAACCTTTCTTCAGCGATTCCAGATTCAAAGAGAGATGGCTCCAAGAAGAGCATTCTCCATGTGGGTGGGTTATAATTCACCACCTCTAGTCCGAATGTCATTTCTTACATTATCCAAGGCTATTCTTTCCTTAAAGTGCAAAAAGGTGTGAAGAGGAAAGGTCATGTTTGTTGACTCTCAGGTAACAATACTCATTCTTCCCCTCCTCTCAGCAGCAGTGAATTCCACCAGTCACTCCATTGGTGCTTGGGCTGCTTAGCACAGAAACCTGCAGAGCTAATTTGCCACACAAGTGAAAAGGAAGTGAAGAAGGAATGATGGTGGGGATAAAAAGACAGGACACAAATGAAAACTCAGGAGCAATGGTAAACCTCAGAAGAACATCTCCTCTTCCATCAGGAATCTCTACCTCTTATGGTAGGAAGAAGCGATGGAGAGAACACAGAAGGTGCCTGCATCTATACTAGTGTTTTACATTTTGGTTTGTTTCAGTGCTCTGCTTTTCAAAATGTTAGTTTTTCCTTTTTCCTTTGGAAGAAGTGAAACTGAAAGGTCAGTTCCAGCTACACACCGAATTCATTCCCATCATTCCTGAAGATGTAAGGGTCTGAACTCCGTTTGTAGCAGCTCTGAGCCACAAACATGGCAGGATGCTGGACTAAACCTTGTCTAGTAAACTCCCTGATCTTCCTAAGTGTGGAAACTCATCTTTTTATGTACAGAGACCTAATAACAGCTTCAGATGCACTGCTTGTCATTAGAAGTTGTTTTTCTAAGTACCAAGTCCAAAAAAGCTGCTCAGAATAACAGAAGGTTATACCCATATAACTGAGCTTCAATTTACAGAGAAGATAAGCTCCAGCTTTTATTTGATCTAAAGAGGCTGAACATGACATTTGAGATAAAGATAAGACCTCTACCAAGTACCGAAATGGTTCTAGTATTGGCTGACTAAAAAAAGTATACACTTTAGAATACATTTACTACTTCTTTCACTCCTATGGCAGTAAGAATGTTTCCTTATGGAAAGCAATTGTTAAATGCAAACATGGAGCATCATTCTCAACCATGATAATAATGTAGGCATTTTTTATCCCAAACCACCACTCTCTAGCAAGTCCATGTATGACTTGAGAATTACTTGTGTGGATTTTAGTTAACACCCTCAAGACCAGTTCTGAATCATTTCTAACCACATAGATCCACTAGGAATTGTTGTTAATACATAAATTAAGTGATTTATTGCTTAGTCATAGAAAACATCCCTTTCACTTAAAAAGTAGAAGCTGTGATTGCTTCATAATCTGCTGAATACAGAGACTCCGTTTCTACTTAACTTTTAGAAGTTTGCCATTCTCAGACATACCTTCCCCATGGTACCAGGACAAGATACTCCCACAGAAAAGCTGAGTGTGAGGCTAGCCTGGCTTCAATCACTTTCTGGTAGAGTCCTGCCAGGTTAATGATGATGTGCTGGAAACACTGTCTGGGGTATCACCATGCGTAAATAATAAAAACCCAACCAACCAAAAAAACAAAACCACAAAACCCCACAAACCCACAAACTCAACCAGCCCCCCAAAAAAGCAAAATAAACAAACACCCCCAAAGCGAAAAAGCAAACCTTAACAGCTACTGTCAGCTACTTTCTAAATGTGGACATAGAAATGAAGACTATGCAGACTGTACAGATGTGGTAGGGACAGGGCCCAAATATATATAGGGGAATTGGAATTCTGTATTTCTGAGAAGGTATAACAAGCTTAAGAAAATAGTTTAATTTCTAATTTGCATTCCTATAAACATATTCACTGTAATTATAGTTCTTCCTATAGGATCTATAAGACACCTAAAATAAATATGTTTTATGGGCATTGTATTTGCATTGTTTGCATTTGTATGAATACACATTTAAACCTGCAGTGTGCAGAACTAACAGAGAGCTATCCAGGACACGTTGTCATATTCAGAGCAAGACAAACAGTTCTTGGTATTAAATACACAAACCTGGTCAGACTGAAGCAAAATTATACCATTGGGATCTGGATTTGATTAAAAAATAAGAACTCTGAATTAGGAAACAGGAAGAATTAGATAGTAATGACAGAATGGACTAAGCCTTACTCTCCCAACTATACACAATGAGAACACAATGATTGTTCACACTTTTCCACAATAAGTATGTTAGGGGCATTACCTTTTTCCCCCCAGATCTTTTCCCACTACCTATTGCAATCTCTAGCACTCTTTCAATTTATTCACTGTACAATTAAGAAAAAAAGAAACCACCACTCTTATTATTTCACAGCAGAGCACCATCACTGCATATTACATGAATTTACTCCCCAAACAGAACAGAAAAGTACCCATGCAAGTTATTTCTCTAGTTCTGTATTTAACTACTTTGTGTAATATACAGGATAAAGCAATCCAATGAATGTACCATAAGGTTTCTAGAGTTTGCAAAAATTCACTTCAGTACATCTCCAAACTTTCTTTGGTACTATTTCCAACTCTGAGGCACTGACTCCTCTGGCACTGCCTCTTCAGAAGTGGTTCTTCTTGTTTCTGGCATTTTCAGTAAAAAGATTATAGTAAATCAGATTAGGTATTAGCTGGAGCCCTCTTTGCTTTCTGCCTCTCCTAATTTTTATTCTTGACTTTGCTGTGGTACAGATTTGTTATGGACACTAGAAGATCAAATCTTTCATGGGCTGTATAAATCAGTTCAAAATTTCATCCTCAATCCTTAAATTAACAGTAGAAACTCTACTGACATACTTGGGGCTGGAAAGTCACCCACAAGTGACAAAGATGGACAGGAGCTGTGCTTCTTTGGTTCATTTGACTTTCTAAAACTTAATCCTGGGAACAAGAGCACATGGCAGCTACACTGCTAAAGGCATTCCAACCTTCAACTGTCTTGACTCCTGGCCAGGTGATGAAGTAAAATAGTTTGAGTCTGTCCTACCTAGATCTAGAGCACTGTGGGATAGATCAGAATGTCCTCACTATGTACTGTTTGGTTCAGAGGTCCTATGGACACCCAGACATACTTTGTGTGTGTTTTCAACCGTGCATTCACAAAGCTACAAGATGACCATGCTGGCACCCAGTTTTTGTAGACTGAGCCAAAAGGTGTATTTGGTGTGTGACACAGAAATGTTACAGAAGTGTTCACGAAGGTACAGGCTCTCGGGTACCAGCAAGGGACACTGGACCCAAGACACTTTGTCTCAAGGCTGAGCACAGAAAGCATTGTCTCGAGGCAGTGACTTGCAATATCATACCCAGCTTCTCTTGGAGGAAATTCTTGTTCCTCTCCAGAAAACAGCTGCAATACATCCATTTTGTGTAGTCCACTTTGGCTCTCAGTTTGTTTCCTGTTACAAATCCAACTGTGTTTTCACCAACAACATTACTTTATAGTTAGGTTCTGGCTTCTTTTCTGCTCCTTAGCAACTATGTCACACTTGGAATAATCTCAAGTGCCTCATCCAACAGTCCTCTGACTTGCTGTTGACTCTGAATTGTCTCACAGATACAGCCTCACAGCTATGGGCCAAAAAGCTGTGGAGTTTTACATAACCAGAGGTGCTAACTGGTTATGTAAAACTTACGCTTAACAAAAGCATATAATTGCTTGCCCATATAACTACTCATACCACAAAGAAGTTAAATATGAACAAAAGTGCTTGCAGAACTGGGGCCTTAGTGAACCATTGCAATTCATCAACAGTGCTCTGTACAGCATGTGCTGCTTTGCCTTGGAAGTCAGGACTTTGCAGCCAACTGTAACAAACACAACTTTTGACATGCAAGAGAAAAAAACAGCAATGTGGTTTGTATAGTTCGTGCAGCTCTGATAGGATTTAGGAAGATGTACTAGTATTCATAAAAGGATTCATCAAGTGCCAGCAAGAATCTTTTATATGTCAAGATAAATAA